CATATGGGAGCTGACAGCCTGACGAGCACGTGCGTGCTCCAGTGCGCATGCTCCTGGGATGGTCCGTGGGAGCCTGATGAAAGCCGGGGAAAGAGCAGAAACAATGATTAACTGACACAGACTGTGAATCAATTATCTCCATCCAACAGATCCGATATCAAAGCGAGCCGATGTCACTCTGTCAGAGCTACAGCCCAGTAACAGAAGACAGCGCCATGGCCAGCTTCCTCTCCGAGTGTTCCACCTGTGGGTAGGGAAGTGATTGAAAGACGCTTAGGTTCTCTGGCACTGGCATCCAGGTCTTGGTGCTCCCTCTTCCTGGGCCCAGCAGACACTTCTGATCTCAGATGCTCCCTGGTACTGCAATGTCTAACAAGCAGATATGAGCTGAAGTTTCGCCCCTCCATCCCAGCCACACGGAAATGTCCAAATGTAGCTTTTTAATTATCGAGCAACATATTGTTTAGTAGCAGATGAAGACCCAGCAATCTTTGCAAGAAGAGATGTTTACAGGGCTATGAGGCTAAATTGGAAAATTGTAAATTGGTTATGATTGAATAAATATCACTGCTGGTCTTTTGTTCTTCCAAAGCAACCTTATCTTTCCTCTGTAATGAAGAAAGGCGTAAAGACGGAAAGTTTCCCTCATCTAAGTAGCTTACCCTTTTATGTGGGAAACAACCTGCATATCATTTCAACAACGGCTTTGTTTCTCTGTAAAGTGCGTCCTTTGTGTCTGCCAGGTACACTGTGGCCAGCATTCTGTGGTTGGGTAAAACCTGTAGAGTCCAATCTTGTGGTCTGTGCTTTGGCATAACTATGGAGGAACAAAAGGTGTAAGACTAGCTGGGAGGTTCAAAGGGTCCATCTACAGTGTGTAGGAGGAAGCATGTGTGTGTGTGTGTGTGTGTGTGTGTGTGTGTGTGTGTGTGTATGTGAATCAGAGAGGAGATAGCTCTGGGACGTGACATCCTGAGCGAGACCCTGTCATTGTATAATCTCAGTGTCTGGTCCACTAACCTGAAGATGCTAGGCATTCAGTAGTATTTGTTGATCTAGTTTCTGTTTGTATACTCACAATCTTTAAAATATCAGAGACTCTGGGACTGGAGAGCTGGCTCAGTGGTTAAGAATGCTTACTGCTCTTGCAGAGGACCCAGGTTCAGTTTTCAGCACCCACATGGTGGTTACAGAACAACCTGGAACTCTATGTCCAGGAGACTTGACACCCTCTTCTGGTTTCCAGAAGTACCAGACACACATGTAATACACACAAACACATGCACATGAACACTCATGTGCATAAAAAAAAATCTTAAAGACAAAACCAAGAAGCTCCAGGGGCTCAACACAATAAAAGGAAAAGTCCCCCGCAGGTGCAACTGTTCAGGCCTTTCTGTGGGTGGCCTTGCTGCAGGGAGTGACCCAGGCATCTTCCCATCTAGCTAGTAGGACTCTTGTCATCCTCTGGCTGTAATTTTCTTATACTCTATACTTCCCAAACAGCTAAACACAGAGCGAGAGGAGCATGTTTTGAATAGTTAATTCTAGAAGGTGATGCCTCACTTTCTGGGTCAAAGTTGTCCTGTTAAGAACTGTTTACATGGCTCAGAAGACATGAGAGGGCTAGGAAGTGCAGTCTGTCTCATTGAGAGAGATCTCATTGCGAGAGATAAAGCTCTCTCAGTGAGTGAGTTTGGTGAGTATCTAGCCAAGCTTTGTCATGATAGAAACCTGATAAAAGTATAATAAAGAGAAGGATCAGAGAAGCCTGGGCCATGTGATATGTGTTAGTCAGTGGTCATAAACAAACACCCAGAAAGACCAAGGCCAGTGCAGCCACACGCAGTAGTTGAGTAACAGTGAAGGGTCACTCCTAGAAAATGAAGACCCGGCTGGACCATGATGGCAAGCGCCTTTAATCCCAGCACTTGGGGGGGCACAGGCAGGAGAGTCTATGTGAGTTCGAGGCCAACCTGGTCTACAAGAGCTACTTCCAGGACAGGCTCCAAAGCTACAGCAAAACCCTGTCTTGAAAAACCAAGAAAAAAATAAAAAGGAAAAGAAAAAGAAAAAGAAAGAGAATGAAGTCTGGGACGAGGTAATTTCTTAGTCTTCAAAAACCGCTTAAGTATTGCTAGGAAAAGGAAGTGACTTAGGAAGCTGGGGTTTGGGAAGGTGTCCTTGAGAGGGTCAGATCCATAGCCCACTTCCACGGTTAACCATTGAGGAGCTATAATCTCTGAATTTCAGACAGATGACACTTGTTAGTTATGAGTCGCATAAGCTTAAAGCTACATGCTACATAATCACGCTAGTGCCTTCCATTGGTCAAGCACCAATCATTTGCCAGGCACTACACACACATGCGTGTGCTCACACATGTGTGCATGTACACACACACACACACACACACACACACACGGCATCTCTTACTCTTTTACTCTTTCCCCAATCTACTAGTTTTCCTTACTTTTCATGAGAAAAGAAAATTTAGAGAGGCCGTCCTGCCAAGCATTCCGTGAGAGATAAAGCTAGGATCTGAGCACAATAAGCCCAACCCTCTAGCCCAGGGTAAAATGCAGTAGCATCTTTGCCCACACACCCTGTAAAACACATGCATATGTAAAATGAATATTTAATAACACAGTGCATCAAATAGCCATTGTTGCATAACAAACCTCCCCAAAATATAGTGCTTTAAAAACAATTCGTCACTATTTCCCACAGAGCTGTGGGTTGGCCGGGCAGTTCTGCTGATGTGGGCTAAACTTGGCTGGCTGGGGAAACTGTCTTGCCTGTATCTATGAGCAGCCAGCAAGCTGACTGAGGGATTGCCTGATCCACAGTGGCCTCAGATGGAAGTTTTGGCTTAGTTCCCCTTGGTTTCTCCTCCACCGGGGGTTTAGCCCTGTGTTATTCACAAGATGATGGCAAACTTTAAGAAGAAACTAAAAACACACCAGGCCTCTTGAGGGCAGGCTTCAAATTGGCATACCATCATCCTTGCCTCGTTGGCCCAAGAGACCACAAGACCAGCCCTTATTCATAAGCAGGAAAGGATGACCTATTTTCTGAAGGGAAGTGAGGAAAAGCCACTTTCCCAAAGGCCTGGACAGAAAGAAGGACGGAAAAGGGAACCTTTTTTTTTTTTTCCCTTTTGGACTCTTACTGCATCTAATATCTTCAGACATTTTTCCTATAAGAAGAGCAGATGGGAGAACAGAGTGCTATTCTAAGATGTGGCTGCAATGGTCAATCTTTTTCTCCCCTGGCTAGGTTTAGACATACCTCTGAGTGTGCCTGTGATGGTGGTCCCAGAGAGAACTAACCGAAGAGGGAAGACCAATTTAAAAGTATGTGGCTCCCTCCCAGGGGCTGGGATTGCAGACTGAACCAAAACTCAAACTGAGCATAGAAGATAAGCACCGGCCTGCATCTCTCTCTGCTTCCCCGTGGATGGGACCCGCCAGCACCCTGCCATCACAGACAGCACCGTTCCCCCATCCTGTGCCTTCCAAACCACGGTGGATGTTCTCCCCTGCACTGCCAGCCACAACCATCCTCTTCCTGCTTATGTTGCTTTGCGTCCTGTGCTTGATCCCAGTAACAAGAAAAGTAAAGGCCACAATGGCTTTCCTAATTAGCGCAACAGCACGGGAATCCTCTAAGCCTTCTGTGCTGTTCATTCCCATTGGCCTACAAGGTGTAGGAAAGGACAATGCATTAGGTGGATAAGTAGCTCTTTTATTTCAGGAGGCAGGGCATGAAAATAACCGTGTGCTCAGGCACATGAAATAGCTTTGCAGTAGAAAATTTTTTAAAGAGCAAAACAAAACTGAAAATTTGACTTCCTGTGTGCCCTGCAAAGGAAAGGGGGGTGAGGGAAGAAACTGTGAATGTGTGATGAGCAGCTGGTTTTTATTTTTAAACACATATTATTGCTACACTGATCGTGTGTGTGTGTGTGTGTGTGTGTGTGTGTGTGTGTGTGGTGTGGAGGGGAACTTACTAAGGAACTCTAGCAAGCGGGGATATCATTTCAAGCGAGTGCTAATGAGATTGGCTCCATCTTTTCAGAATAAAGTGAGTCTCTTTCCCCCTTCAGTATATGGAACTGAGGAAAGAAACAGCAAATGCTGAGAGGAGCAAGTGCTGCAGAGTCTCCCTAGGTGGCCAAGAGACATTTGGAGCTCCTGAGCTGGGGCTTTAGTCACTGAGAACAGATCATCCTACAGGGAAAACATCAGGACTGCTCACAGGGGAGCCTTCAGCACGTGAGCCTGTTGACACTGAAGACTGTGCCCAGAGGGAGGACAACAAGGTCACTGTGGGAAGTAAGGTGCTGAAGGGCTACTACCTTGAGCTAGACAAGTCCGGGCAAAATAAAAGTTTAATACTCCCAGAACCACGGGGAGCAGGGAGCAAGCATGCCCTGTTCCCCATGACCACCAAGGAGGGAAGTCGGAAATGGTAAGACAGTACACCCACAATCAAGTTGTTTTGTAGGGGTTTTGTTCTTATTTATTCATTTTCTCTGGTGTAGATGGGAGGCCTTGTCAACTGAACGTGAGGGTCTGTGCACGCTGACCAAGTGCTCTATCTCCCTTCCCCCCCCTTCCTCCTCTGCCATCCTGAAGGTCTTCCAGTGACTGACTTACTGAACCTATCGCTCCCACCAAGGCTCTGTGGGAAAACTGTTCAGGAAGGCGACAGAGGCAATGAGCAGCCATGACCACAGGCAGCTCTGTCTAAAGAGAACTGAATACAGCTGAGGGTGGGGGAGGGCCCTGTGCAAACCAACAAGCAAGCCTGTGGGCCAGACCAGCCTGTTGGTGCTGCTCTGCGGCCTCTGCTCCACCACCTTTGAACTGTCAACAAAACCAGCCACTCTTGCCCTTGTCCCAAATCAACACAAAGAGTCAACATGACTTTTTTTTTTCTAATTACAGGTTTTACTCCTCTTTCTGGAAGAAAAAAAAAAAGTTAAAACAGTGTTGCAAAACTATGTGCCAATCTCAGGAAGCCTGTGGATACATGACTGGCAACACTGAAATGTCACCTTAGGTTTTTCCACCCAGCTGAGCACACATATCAGGAAAACAAAATATGTATTGAGGGGTAAGGAAGATATTGAAACCTCCTGTTTTCTCTTGAAACATGAGATTTAGACAAAAAGGTTATTGTGAGGTTTTTTTTTTTTTTTAGTTATATAGGTAGGGTTTAAGTAATGTTGTTGCGAAGTCAGACTATAGCTAGAGACCAGCGTGGTTCAGCTTTTGCACACTTTCAACGGAAAAGGCAGCAAACAGACCCACGCTAGCTTACACATCCTCCCGTAAACTAAATACAGAGAAATCCCCTGTTTTTCTCACTTAAAAGTTGCTGGAAACATGACTGTGTTCTTCTTGATCATTTTCCCACCACACCCCCACAACATATCTGAATTTCTGTGGGTGCTATTGGAGAAACAGCAATTTTCATTTGTTTTCTTAAGAAAGGACCTTACTGTTTTCCGGTGTGCCTCAGACTGGCCTGGAGTGTACCATGCCCTGGTGCAGAGTCTCAAGTCCTGGGGTTACAGGCTCATTCCTCCTCAATAGGATTTCTGTACCTCGATGTAGGTGTCTCTGCTGATGCCATAAGCAGGATCAAACCAAATTGAAAAAGTAAAAGACCAGGTTTATTTTGAGCAAAGCAACTTCCAGGTGACTTCTCCATCTCCAGAGATCAAGGTGGGAGCAGGGGCAGGAGAAATCACACGACCGAATTAAAACAGGGTGCTTACCTGCCCTGTAGTTGAGGAGTGATGACTTGTCTTCCACAAGCTGGCAAACTTTACGTGGAGTTTGGGGGGAGGGGAAGCTACTGTGGGCACCAAGAATGTCAAACTGGGCTTTTTGGAGCCTTCCGTTTTTGTGGCAGCTTCTCTGAGAGAGTGGGGTTTGGAGAAACAGGAACGGACTTTCGCAGGAGCGGGAAGTTCCAGTCCAACACTCCTCACCTGGTGATCCAGAATTCTGTCATGTTCTGTATTAAGTTACAACTGAAAATGTCCTCTCACGGATTGATAGCCATTTGGGTAAAATTAGGGCCATTTGTCCCCATTTTTGTTCATTTCGTTGACACTAACATTTGATCTCCTTTGACCCTTGAAAGTCTTTGAAGGAAGTCTCCAGCCAGCATCAGCCCCGACAGGGACGAGGTGAAACCCTCAGAAATCAGCTTGTGTTCAGGGTCGCCGCTCTTCTCTCGCGGATGCCATCAGCTGATTGCTGACACCTTTTGATTGAGATAATTTTAGGTCAGTGTGCTTTCCCCAGACTGCATCTAGCAAAATAAATGATACAGGGTTTGTCCTATGAGGAACCCTGTGGCTGATTACTGGCTTTGGGGATGTTCTTGAGAAAGAGCTCTTCCGTTTCCAACACATTCTCTCTCTCCCTCTCTCTAGCACATACACACACACAAACACATACCAATCAGACAATCACCATGTTACTTAGTCTTTCAGAAAAGATCTAAGCGATGGAGGCAGGACAATGCTCTTAGCAAAACCTGTTTGTCCGTCCCCTGCCCTCTGTTTTGCACACTGCCTGCGTCTGCGGCTCTAAGCTGTTACCTGGTCTCTGCTCCGCACTACAGAGCCCTTCCCTGACACGCACCTGGCTCGGGGTCTCCCACTCTTTTCAGTGGCTGACAGCTTGCTGTCTTCTCTCCATATTTGCCTTCCTCTCACATCCAGATAGCACATCTCTCCTCTCCAGTCTCTCCCGGCACCCCGACACCCCCATTTATGCTCCTCGGAGTACAGTCTGATCTCATGCCCCTCCTCGCCCCAGTTGTTTTTCTTGGGGAAAATCTGCCCATTGCTTAGATTCTGCCAAAAGGGAAGTCCAGGTACTGGCAACCACAGAGCAAGAACCCTCCCTTCTTGGAGGGCAAAGAAACTTGGAAACAGCCACATTCAAGCCCCGCTATGCTACTGGAATGCAGCGCTTCTGAGACATGGTGATTTGCATGTGCGTTTCCATGAGAACTTGGTGGTCGGAAAAGACAGGCTCATGCTCCAGAAACAAGGTCGGCTGTTGGAGCTTTGTCTCCCTAGGAAACAGAGAAGCAGGCCAATGCTAGGGCTTCACTAAGTCTTTAAGTGGAGAGAAAACACATGTTGAGTTAATTTTGGATGTGTCCATCTATAACCTGTCCTGATGATCCATAAACTAATTTCAGAGAACAATCAATCCTCTGGGTGGTGAAGGAGGACAGGGCTGGGCTGGGCTGGGTAATTCTTCTGCCTGGCTGGCTTCACCTCAGAGAAGTCACCTGAATTCAGTGGGTAACTGGTCTTTCGTAGAGGAACCATGACCATGGTATTTCTGTGCCTATTCTCTGGTGGTAATGGCTCCGTTTTGGTTCTCTCCTCTCTCTATGCTCTCAGAATCTCTCTCCAGAGTCTTTTCTGGGTCTTCAGACTCTTCCCACGGCTGCTGACTATGGATTCAAAAGTGGGCTTTCCAAAAGGCAGAAGAGGAATCTGAATGTCTTGAGAGCTGAGGCAGGAGTGGACGTGCCGCCTCTTCCATCTCATTCCCATGGCTATAAGCAATAAATACAGAGAATCTATGAAGATACAGCTCATATTCTTTTTTCTTTTCCTTAGCAGGAGTCGGCAAATTGTGTCTTTTCAGATCAAAGCTGACCCTCCACCCATCATTACAGATACAGGTCTGTGGAAACAGCTGGCATTATTAGTTACATATGCTGTCTATGGCTGTTTTCACACGATTGTAGCTGCTATGGAGATTGCACAGATCATGTAGTCTAAAACATTTACAATATGGCTCGTTCTAAAAATAATGATTTTCTGATCGCTATTCTGTAGTCGCTTATCATGGAACAGTTCCTTCATGGGCTGTGCCTAGCAGTCGGGGCCGAGGGGACAGAAGGAAGGAAAGGGCACCTGTAGTCTGCTTTTCCTTTGGCAGGTGTAACACTACGGCAGGTAAGTAAGCTAAACATCCTTGTGTATAGCCTGTGGGGTTGTCAGGCCCTGTTAGCTTCTGCACAGTGCACATACAGGCAGACATTCCTAGGAACAGTTTGGAAAGTTTACAATAAGGGAAAATGTCTGGCACAAGACACATACCTGTGGTCAACATCCGGGCACTAGACTGCAGGCCTTGCTTGCAAGGAAGTAAGAAGAACCTGAAGTTTCCCATACATACACAGGCCCTTCCACTGTGTGCGACTGTCCTCACCACAAACAAAGCCGAAAGGAGGAGACCCTGAGGCCATAAACTGTGGCAAGTTCGTCTTTCAAAATCTGAGCTCCCCCTCGCAACTCACCCACCATTTGGGTACAAAGACTGGCAGACTGTGTGTAGGATGCGGACTTCATCACTGGCGATTGCACAGCTGCACGTAGAATAGAACCCAGAGGCTCTGTTACTGGGCTATGCTATGAGTTTCTTAGATTCTTTTAGGCTAAGTCTACACTGGGAAGGTCATCATCACCAGGCTTTAACTCCAGCCTCCAAATAGAATTGGAATGAACCTCCCCTTGGGGAGCAGGAGCCCATTCCTGTGGTGGGTCATAAAGTGCAGTTTATGAGCACCTTGGCCCAGATCCACTCTAGTTTGGCTGCATAATGACCTTGGGCACTGCAGTGCAACATTAATGTTGAAAGGAAGCCATTAAGGCCAGGCTCCTACCAAGAAAATAACAGTGGAGCTAATTCAAATGACTCCCTCCGAAGTTCCTGCCTCTACCCCAACAACAAGATCACTTTGTTTTACAAGTTAAAAGCTGCAAGGCCACTCTTCTCCTTTGCTAATGAGCAAATCACTGGGTGCTGGAGACCAGAGCAGGCAGCAGAGTTTTCAGCTGGCTGGCTCAACCCGGCACCTTTTCTCCAGTGGAACCCAGCATGGTTGGAAGAAACTGAAGGCCTGGGAGGGGGAGCCAAAGCTTAAGACAGCTTATCCATGACTATCTATCAAATAAGGCTCAAATCTTAGTGTTTCAATCAATTCTCTTCATGCTCACAATGCCTTGGGGTTGCCTGAGCTCAGCTGGGTAGTTCTGAGTCATCTTGAGCCACAGGCCTCTAGGCTCACCTGATTTTGGAAAATGCAAGATGGTGCTAACCTGCAGAGGGGGGACTTGTGACCAGATCACTGGGTACCTCATCTTCTTAGTCTCCACGATGGCAGGCTCTCTCAAAGCACAGCAGCTGGGCTGTAAGAGGAAGAAAGCAGGAGTTTCACTCAACCAAAGGTCTAGACTTTGGGGATGTCATATCTTTCATATGCCACTGGTCAATGCAATCATAGGCCCAGTACATATTCAAGAGGATGAGGACTGGCTTTTGTTACTGGCGATTGGAGTCCAGCACTCCATGATGCCAGGCAAGGGCTCCAAGATTGAATTGTTATCTCTCTCTTTTGCTTGTTACTTTGAGACCGGGTGTCGCTAAAATGACCAGGCTGGCATTGAACTCACTCTGAAGCCTAATCAAGTCTTGAACTCCTGACCCTCCTGCTTCAGCCTCTAGAGTGGCTGGAGTTACCATACCCTTTGATATAAACTGTGACATGGCGACCCATGAAGGGATTGCTGGAGGCTTATCATTTATGGTGATAATAATAGAACCGATAGGACCGGAACCTATCCTACCTGCCAAGTCTGATGGGGTACACTTCAGAAAGCAAGACAAGGGGAGAAGGAATGAAGGCAGGAGTGAAGGAAGAAGAGAGAGAAGAAGGGGAAAGCAGGAAGAAGGGAGGCTGGGAGATAAGGAGGAGGGGGAGATAGTTCTAAACTCTGCAGTAAACGTGGACCATAGGTAATGTTTTCTCCTAGCTCAGAGGTGGTCTGCTTTTATTCTATTAAGGTCTTCTACGGATTAGATGAGGCCCACACATATTATAAAAGGTAACCTGATTTACTCAAAATTCTTTGATTTGAACATTAACCTCATCCTTTCCCCGTCAAAAACTTAACTAGAACTACTCCCACGAAAACACCCAGAATAGCATTTCCTGAAAGAACTGGGTACTTTGACCCAGCCAGGTTGATGTATAACACTTTGTGTCACCAGGGTCAAACTTAGGGCCAGACAACCGCAGCCAGCAAAGAAGCAGTTCTTCCTGTCTTTCTACCCTGTATCTGGTTTAAATTTTCTTTTATTTCTTCCTGGGTTTCTACCTCCAGGTTCTCCTCGGAGCCTCACCTTTGTGACCATGGCTCCCTCTCTCTTCTATTCCTTCATTTTCCATGGGTAGCAAAGTAAACACAATCGCCCTCTCCCTGGCTGCTGGGTAGAAGTGCTTCATTTGTGGGCACCTGGGGAGTGGAGAGTTCTGAGGATCATGGCATGCAAGAGAGGAAGAACATCAGACTAGATAATCCAGCAACTGTCAGCCCTGAGTACCCAGGCCTGGTGACTCCCCCTCTCCACCCTGAGCTCCTCCCCTCCTTCAGACTTATCATTCTAGACTTTTACCTTGTGTGTCAATTGAAGAAGACTAGAGGAGTCCAAGCTTAGCTCACTTCCGGTCTTCTGCAACAAAACCCATCTGAAGAAGCCATGGTTGTCTTTTGTGTTTTGCTTTGTTTTTAAAAGGCAGGGATTTTCCAGTCCATAGAAGGAAAGAGCAGCATCTGCCTGGGTTGAGGGAAAAAGATGAAATTTTAGTTGATGGAACTGGGCTTGTGCTAGGAGAAGCTTTATGGCAAACAATCCCCACTTGTGTTCCAGGGGCAGCATGGCTACCCCAGGGCTGGGTAGACAATATCCATGTAACTTGCTTTTCTCCCTTGTGCTCCACACCTGGCTTTGAAGGCGGAGAAGCAGCCCCACCTTAGCAAGCTCTTAAAGCTTTTCTGCTTCGTACCCTTTGCCCAAGGGAAGCCCCTTTGCTTGAACTTTTCTTTATTTCCTGGAATGCTTATTAAAACCCAGAGCTTTGTGTTTGCGTGCACACACATACAGAGACATGCCTGCATAGCCCTTCAGTGGGTAGCTCAAAAGAAAGAACTCTTGAACCCACACCCTGCAGAATCAGAAACACTGTCTAGGTATCCAGATAGTAGTGACATGCAGTGAAAACTTCGAGTAAAGAGGAAACGTAAGGCATTGATGGAGAGTCAAGTACATTCTGTGTAAGCGTGCAGATCTGAGTTTGGATCCCCAGCACCCATGTAAAAACTAGGTGCAGCTCATGCTTGTAATTTCAGTGCTGTGGAGGCAGAGAAAAGTGGATCCCCAGAGCTCACTGGCTAGCCAGACAAGCCAAACTGGTGAGCTCCAGGTTCAGTAAAAGACTTTGTCCCTGAAAGCGAGGTGGAGAGTGATGAGAGATGGCACCCAACACTGACCTCTGGCTTCCATCTATCCACATACATGTGCATGTACAAGTGCATGCACACACTCATAGTCATGTACATCCCACACACAAACACACACGTACAAAGTAACAATGTGTGGATGGCATATATACAAATATATATATATATGTATATATATACACATGCATGCAAAATGTTCTAGAAGGATAACTATCAGTATGACCATAGACAGAGAAGGGGACATTTTACATTTTGGTCTATGTATTTATATTCATCTTGTGTCCTATACAAAGCAAGAAAGCATCTATGTTTTCATCTTGAAGGCATGTGAAGTAGGTGTGTGTTTGCTTGTAGTTAGGGCTGCGGTAGCTATGGGCCATCCTCATTCATGTGGAGTTCAAGATCAAGATCAAACACCAGCAGATAAAGGTGTGGTCATTCCGTTTCTGTAAAGTGGGCTGAATAAGTGCCTTCATGTCCCCAGGGAAGTGTGACACAGGACATATCCTATAAGCTAGGTAGAGAGCTTTCCCCTGCCCAGAAGCCTTGATCGAGCCCAGGAACCAGACTCTGTGAAGACATGAGCATCCAACCCAAGCAAGCAACGCCTGGAACAGGTGGAAGGGTGACAGGTGTTTTTAGTCCTCGTGACCAAGAAGTGATAGTGTCATATCGACTTCCCTTTAGAACTGCAAGGTGCTATCCTCACATTGAGCCTGAATAAGATTTGCAAGTTCTAAGGTTTTAATTTAGTGAACAGGAAGACTATTCTCTTCTGAAGAGATCTTTACTTATTTCCTGTGTGCCAAGGCGTGATCTATGGGAGGGACGGCAGCTGAGGGGAAACAGATTAGTGACCTTGGCCTCAGATTAGTGACCATCTTTCTTGACCTTATTTAAGTCACAGGCCCTTTGTAGAATCTGATTTTAAATAAAACACAGGTGTTTACTTCAGAACAGGCACCTAGAAACGTTTGCCTACGATTTCCAGGTCATGAGCCTCATTTGACAACCCTCCCCTCTGTTGCCTCCCTATTAGTGAGCCTAAGGCTGAAGCAAACCCTTGACCACTGGGAGATATCCATCCCCCAGTCATATTTTCCTTTCTTGCTTTGGGGTTGACTAAGATGGCAGGCTGGTTTTGAACTCATTCTGTAGCCTAGACAGGCCTTGGCCTTTTTAGCCTCCAGAGTACCTGGGATTAGCAGACTGGGCCACCACATCAGTCATTTGAATAATCTGCACAAAACGCACACAGCCATTGAAGGCTTCAGAAAGGAAGTACCTCAGCAGGAGCCAGATTCCTGTTCACTCAAACAAACAAACCTCCCCAAACTACCACCTTTATTTGCAGTAAAAGAATTGCAAAAGCTTTCCATGCCTCTTATTGTAGAAGGTATTTCGGGGCCTGGGGTGTCTTTGGACATGGCAGTTCAGATTTCCTGAGTAGTCCTGGTAGATGACAGTTCATTCTGATGATGCATTCTGAGCAGAAACAGTGACATTGTCATGTTGACCTTTCTCGCAGAAAAGAGGCAGAGTTGTAGCATCGGTCTCTTCGGGCACCAGAAGCAGGAGAATGTGGAATGCACTCTGCATACGGCATTGCCACATCGGAGGGCAAGAGAAGAGCATTTAGAAGTTGGGGTCCACAGGATAACATGGCTGCAGCCTCAATCCCAGGCGCCTCTCCTGAGAACTGGGTCTGAGCCTTGTGTGCCTCTTGTCACAGTTGGCATAAGGGTGGTAAAATATCACCCATGGTATTTTCTCCTGTGGAGGTGGTCAGAAGCCACAGAGCCTGGGAAGATGGAGAAGGAGCCTAGGATGAGCTGGACCTGCAGGGACAGGGAATGAAGCCGAGTTGCGCAATCCTGGGGACTGTCAATGGAGGATCAGAGAGACACGGAAAGTGTTTCCAGGGCAGGATGTGAGATGACCCCAGTGGGACCTCTTCCCTCTCATCTTCTGCCTCCACCTCTGACGCTTGCCTGGGGGTAATGAATGACTTAGCTGAATGGGAACGTCAAAGAGCAGCAGAATTAAGTTGCTATATATATACACGAGAAACCCCATTCCCCATCCTTTCACACAGCACCTCTGACACCAGGGTGTTTGTAGCAGATGCTGCGAAACTTTGGAGAGAGATGACACCATGCAGAGAGCAGCTTACAGTAAGACTTAGATCCTCTGAGCATTCCAGCTTCCAGCAACCCTGCTGACCCTTGACTCCTGCCCCCCTGCTAGCCTCCTGCCAGGATGCTTAGGTTCTCCTGGGTGACCTAGTAGGGCTTCTTTTCTCGCCTCTAGGCTGCTGAGCCATGTAGCCTTTTCTTTGTTCATCTTTCTTTTTCATTATTTCTCAGGATAGCCTACTTTATCCAGAGCTAAGTAAGCAATTGCTCTCCCTACGAAGGTCTCCAACGCCAGCATTTGAAGCTGCATTGTGTCTCTCTGATACTCTGATCCTTCTCTGGGAAGAATGATCAGGCAGGCGCTCTATCCTGGGGTGGGGTAGAGTTTCATTATAGTCTCCAAGGCGAGCAAACACTTTCCCTAGCTGCCATCGGCTTTCTTTGCACTTATGTGATGGGGTGAGCCAGCAGCATGACAACATGCCCATTGTGTTCATTTTGTCCATGTCGTATTGATCTGGAGGCTGTAGATCAATCAGTTTTATAGCAAACCCACAGTCATTGTTAAGACAACCAAAGTAAACAGCAGCCGGTCCAGTAAACCAGCACAACCAGGGCCCCTTCGTACACTCAGCCATGTCCTTCTGTGGGAAGCCTTGCATCCCTGAGCTCCTTTACTGTGGAAGGGAAAGGGGGGAGGGACAGCAACCACAGCCGCCACCACAACAAAAACAATAGCAACAACGACAACAACCCACCACCACAACCAGGGCTGGGCAGAGAAACCCCAGGTAAAATATGACAGAAATAAAACAGCCACACAAAGCAGCAGAGCTGTCTACAATACTAAAGCGAAACACAAGTCAGCGCTAATTACCACCATAAGTTAGCTTTATTTTCTCCTCCGATCCCACATACTGCACGCTAGAGGTTTGACTAGAAAGAATTGACCTAGAGAATACTGAATATGCTTTTACCTGGAAAACCGTGTGCTTCGTCTTACGAATGCTTTTAGTTTAGGCAGAAGACAGAGTGAAGAGTGTGCTGGGACGGTCCTTGCCCTCTGCAGCACCCCAGCTAGAGCTCGCCTGTGGGCTGAATGCCTGGCAGTGCATTCTTGTGTCGGGATTTGGGACCCTCCTAGTCCCCATGATGCCACCTCCTTTGTAGTAACCTCCCCAGTATATGTAGGGATGGACCCTTTTGAAATCATTAGTGAACCTCAGAGGGAAGCAGGAGGATTACAAGGTCCAAGTGGGCTGGGGCTGTGTGAAGACACATTCTCGAATTTCAAAGTATGAAAAGGGCTAGATCTACAATTCAGTGGTAGGATAGTTGCCCAGCACGAGCAAGGTCCTGTGTTTAATACCTAGTACTCTGGAGGAAGGAAGGAAGAAAGGAGGGAGGGAGGGAAAGAGGAAGGGAAAAAGAGGGAGGGAAGGAAGGAAGGAAGGAAGGAAGGAAGGAAGGAGAAAAAGTTCCATTTTACTTTCTTTGGGATGCTGAAATAGGACTGTCCTAAAGGTGAGGTGTACCAAGTGTGCCCAGAAACCCATTTCCATCTTTGGGGATGTAACAGCTGACACACAGATGAAGAGGAGTGTAGACACAAGTGTGGGATGGCCTAATACACGGTCCCTCCAGCCCAGTGTAGCTCATGGACACAGAAGGGAACGAAGTCTTCCTCACGGCCCTGGCCAGGAAATAGTTCCAGGAAATAATGACAAATTAAAAAAAAAAAAAAGCAAATCTATTTATGTAGTATGTAGTACGCCACTGTTAGTGAGGGAAGTGTAGAAAGTAAGAAAGCATCTGCATTTATACAGGACCTCATTTGCATAAGGACACACTGGAATGATACACTCAACATT